GGGTATAGAGACAGCCACCTATCTGTGTGCTCACATGGCAGAAGGGACAGGAAATCTCCAGGGACTCTTATAAGGGCACTGGTTGCATTCATGAAGGCTCTATGCTCCTGACCAAATCACCTCCCAAAGGCTCTCCTCCAAACATCACCACATTGGGATTTCGGTTTCAACAACAAAAAAATTCAGTCTGTAGCAATCCTCCACTTGTTTGTCTTTTTGTATACCTTATACCTGTGATTGGTACCACAACACAGCACGTCACTCAAGCCACAAACTCTGGAATTGTCCTAAGTTTCCTTTTTCCTCACTTCCCGTCCTATCCCCCTATCCTACCAGTAACTGAATCCTTTATATTTTACACTATAAGTATCTTTTGTATTTATTCCTTCTTTCCATACCCAGTGCCACCACCTTGGTTTAGATGTGTCTGAATCACCTGTATTGGTATTAAATAATCTTTTCAAAAAAAAAAAAAAAAAAAAAGGTATTTACTTGTACGTTGTTTCTCACTTAACTCTGTTTCATGGCCCCATTTTACCTGCACAACAGAATTCAAGCCAATTAACATGGCTCTTAGGACATGTGTTCCTTGCTTGCTGTCCAGCCTCCTCTTCCATCACAATCCCCACCCACCCTCCAGACAAGCTAGACAAGTTGTGTTACTCGTGCAGTGTCTTTGTGCAAGCTGTCCCTTTTGTTTAGAATGCCCTGATTAATTATAACTTTATGTTTTCTTTTCTTAAAAATGCTTTAATGTAATAAACACAGGTTTTTAAAAATCATATAGTGCTGAACGGTTTATCACAACAAATAGCGGATCATCACACTGTGCCTTCCAGCCTCTGTATCTCCCTTGAAGCAGCCGCTTTTGACTCTTTTAGATGTTTCTCCTGTATTCACCTCCGTCTTGCAAATAATTGGCTTGTAACGCTATTTCTTGACTTGTCAGGTTTAGGCTTTACCTAGTAAGTTTCTCTTCTCTCATAATTCCAGTATAATTACTGTGGGGGTGATGCTCAGAACATTTCAGAACTGGCACAGACCAGATATTGATTAATCACAACCAGTTTTCCCACATGGTGTATGTGGGCTAATTACTAATCCTGGTTTTATCACAATTTTTTGTTAAAATATCAGTAGTTACATTGTCATTACCATGTAAGTATTGTCCACTGCTGAAACAAATAATAAACTATGATTGTGTTACCTTGCTTTCACCATTTTAACTTTCTAGAAATTATTAATTGGTGCTTTAAAATAATCACTTATTCCTCACTAAAACCTTACCATAATCTTCATCATTTTCATGAAATCTTTGCTGTTGGGCCTAGCTGATTCTCTATCCTGTGTTACTCCCATGTTACTACCTCTATTGTTGTGCTTATTACACTGTACCTTAAAGATTTGTGTGTCTATCTTCATTACCAGAACATGAACTCCTTGAGGTCAGTGATAATATGTTATTTTTGAACCATCAGTCCCTTCCACCAGCTCAATCAAACACATACTGATTAATAAATACCTGTTGAATTGTGGATGGAACAGGAGTACCCTTTCTCTTTGAAGCAGCCTTGAGTATTGAGTAGATGGTTTTGTGAGCAATTCTCTGATTTCTGAGTCGTTTCATACAGATTACAAGCTGAAATGCCTGTCAGGGTCTGGAAATAAATGAGTGCAGCAAGCCTGATGGGGTCTGTGGCATTGAAAGGCATCACCTGCTAGTTAGCTCCAGCCAGCTGTTGCCATGAAGGCGTTTCAGACCTGTATTGCCAGGTCTTCTGCTTTTTCAATGGAAACAGGAAAATCCAGATTTAATATGCACTGCTCTGAGTTAATTTTTATATACTATGCAGACCAAGAAAATGGTTCTTCAGGCTGGATTTGGTTTATGGCCACCAGCTTATGATGTGAAGATAGTTGGGTGGGAGGAGAAAGAGTACACGCTGTCCCAGAGCCCTGTGCCCTGCGCCCTGTGCACGGGGTCTGGTTTACCCTTGGATGCTTTCTCCCCAGGGGCATCCCTTCACTAGCTGATACCAGCATGTGGAGCGAGCCTTAGCAGAGGAGAGCCTGGGCACAGCCCCAGCCTGCCAGAATGTTCGGAGGCTTAGGGGAGGAGGTCAGTGGAATCAGAGCTCCCTCTGTTAGGTGGAAGTGGAGAATGATGACTTAAATTATAAGTGATAATGGGAAGGATGGTGAGTAGATTAAAAACTGTGTATTTTATGCCCAGCCCTGTGCCCGTTCTTATACTACTTCATTTAATTTTTACAATAACCATGAAAAGGAGATATTGTCATTCCCAGTTTGCAGATACTGAATCTCTATGAGACTGAGAGTTGTTGTTTTCATTCCCACCTTTAGAACAGATTAACTCCAGAATTAAAGCTTTCTGATTCTGCCCGTAAAGAAAGCCCATGTAAGGGATTTTAAAAATGAATGAAACCTGTTTTAAGCTAAATTGATTAAAATTTTTCACTTGAAATTGATATTGGGAGTTTTAAATTTGAAGTTTGATTTCCTTGTAGATTAATTTATTCATTCTTTCAACATTTCATTGTGTTCTATGTTAGATACCAGGATTACAAAGATGAGTAATATAAAAGTCTTGTGCTTGAGAAGCCTTAAATGATTGCTTCTGGTTTGCTCTAAGTGTGAAAGGAGGGGCCTAGATGTTGGGATAAAAGATATAAAAAGTCTAAACTTTTGGTGACCAAGTTGCACTTTTTAAAAAATTTGAGTCACTTTTTATTTTTCTTGTTGGGAAAAACAAAACATGCTAGTGCCAAAACTAAAAAATGCAAATAAGGAATATTCCAAAAAGTCTTTTCCTAATCAGTGTAAGCAACTCTCTACTTACTTACCTACCTTTTTGACTATCTATATAATTTTTTTACACTTATCACACACACACGCAAACAAACACACACAGATCACACTACATTTCTATAGCCTGCTTCTCTTACTTAGGAATATAGCAAGTGTTGTATTAATGTTTGAAAAATCATTTTTATGACTGAATAACATTTTGTTACATGAAAATAGTTCCATATATTTAATAATTCTCTATTATTAGATATTTAGGTAATTTCTAGTTTTTATAACCCATGTCATATAGATCTAGAGAATTTTTCTAGCTAAATCTTTTTATGCATCTATTGTATTACTTTAGGCAAAATTACTAGATATGAAATAATTGGATTTAAGCATTTGTACATTTTTTTTAGTTTTTTGTTTACAGCACATACAATGCTAAATTGTCCTCTAAAAAGTAGT